GTACATGCATGCGATTCCTTCTTTCTCAAATTTCGAGTAAGTAGTCTCTCAGATTTAGAAACTGCGAAACTGGAAGTGATATTATCACAATCTTTAATAACTGGCAGCTTTAGAGAAGGAATTGCCGTTTTTTTCAAAGCTCGCCGTTTTGTTTGGGAAGTCAAATCTACAATGTAAAAAAAATTAATAAAAAGTAATATAAAAGTATAAGCAAATGTTACCTCTAGGAATATAATCATCTTCCTTAAAATGAAGTGAGCAAACTTTCATAAATTTAGAAACAGGTTTTCCAATTTTTAATTTAATTATCCATGCTTTTCTTGCATCTATTAATTCATGTTGCCCACTTTCATTTTCAAATCTAACTCTGTTCTTTCCAACGTCAGGAAATTGATGAAAAGTTATATTGGGATTTGTTTTTTTCCAAGACTTACACTGTGGCACTGAACAGTAATAATTAGCTACTGTACTCATTGTAATTTGATTCAAGATATTTTGAACACTTTCGAAACTAATTTTATTTTAAACACAATGTAAAACTTAATTTAAAATGGTATAATTATTCGAAAACTTTCAAATCTTTTGTTTGAAAACGATAGCAGAAATACACTCAAGGTCACGCTAATATATAAATGAGTAGTTACATTTTTTAACGTATGGTGGCGTATCGCTTATTTTCAGATCCGAATTCTGGGAGTCGGACAGTTCGACTACGGGCCAGGTACCTGTTTTAAGTACACTGATCAGTTGGACCACGACCGCTCTTCGAGTGGATTAAGGTTGTATTCTAAGAATTAAAACAATCACTATTTACTTAACATATTATTTATTATTGAGGTGAATTATAATAAGACATAATTTTTACAAAATCTTTTTGTGATAAAAGGCAATTTCTATATTCTGCTATCTTAGCTTCAATAAAATCATTTTTTTTTCAGTGTTGCACTTTTTAGTTTTTTTGTTGAAACATTTTACGGAATTTATTTTAATATATGTTTCTGCTTGAAAGTTTATTAAAATATTTACAAAATTAAACAAACTTGGGTGAGAACTATAAAAATTAGAATTAAAATGAGAATAAAATGATTCACACGCGTTTGTGGTCCTGTACATAGTACATACTATCTGTAGTACAAGCTCACATACTTGGGGGAAAATTACTTTCTTCATCGATATAAGTTTTCACGATATAATCGCAAAATTTCGATAGACTCGGATTACTGGGCATTATTGTATGAATTTCTTCATAAAAAAAGTTTACTACTTCATGAGACCGGTGTGAAGTTAGCAGTAACTTTTAGCAGTAAAAATAACCGAAAACACCCGATCGGGAAAACAGTGGCGTCAAGCATACAACTATTTTAATAATCTTGTCAATATGTATTTTACACATAATTATCGACAAACAATTAATATACGGTTGAAAATAACCCTTAAAATTGATAAAAGTATTTATCCGACAAAGGAAATCAAATCGCAATTTAATTTTATATTTGAAAAATAAATATACTAACATTTCTTCGGATCCGTTGAACAGGGTAAAATTAACCCATAAAATTCATAAAATAATTATCCTGTGAAGTGTATTAAACAGGGTGAATTTAACCCTTAAACTTCAAAATAAATAATTACCCAATGAAGACGATTAGATCCCAACTTAGTTTTAAATTAAAAAACGCATAAATATACTCATCAAAGTACACTGTGAGCTCTTCTGACTCGTCAAACAGGGTGAAATTAACCCTTCAACATTAAAATAAATAATTACCCTATAAAGACGATTAAATCCCAACTTGATTTTAAATTTAAAAAATCATAAATACACACATCAAAGTACACTCTTAGCTAAAATCCCTTCCGACCCGTCAAGCAGGGTGAAATTAACCCTTAAACTTCAAAATTAATAATTACCCTTTGAAGGCGATTAGATCCCAACTTGGTTTTACATTAAAAAAAGGACAAATATACTCATCAAAGTACACTGTTAGTGAAAATCCCTTCCGACCCATCAAACAGGGTGAAATTAACCCTTCAACATTAAAATAAATAATTACCATATGAAGACGATTAAATCCCAAATTAATTTTAAATTTAAAAAATCATAAATGTACTTACCAAACTACACTGTGAGAAATACCTTCTGACCGGTCAAACAGGGTAAAATCAACCCTTAAACTTCAAAATAAATAATAACCCAATGAAGAAGATAAGTGTATTAATAATGTTTTAAATTTAAATTCAAGTTGGGATTTAATCGTCTTCATAGGGTAATTATTTATTTTGAAGTTTAAGGGTTAGTTTCACCCTGTTTGACGGGTCGGAAGGGATTTTCGCTAACAGTGTACTGTGGTGAGTGTAGTTATGATTTTTTAAATTTAAAACCAAGTTTTGATCTAATCGTCTTCATATAGTAATTATTTATTTTGAAGTTTAATGGTTAATTTCACCCTGCTTGACGGGTCAATAGAGATTTTTGCTAACAGTGTACTTTGGTGAGCGTATTTACGATTTTTTAAATTTAAAACCAAGTTTTGATCTAATGTCTTCATATAGTAATTATTTATTTTGAAGTTTAAGGGTTAATTTCACCCTGTTTGACGGGCCGAAAGGGATTTTGGCTAACAGTGTACTTTGGTGAGTGTATTTATGATTTTTTAAATTTAAAACCAAACTGGGATTTAATCGTCTTCATATGGTAATTATTTATTTTAATGTTGAAGGGTTAATTTCACCCTGCTTGACGAGTCGGAAGGGATTTTTGCTAACAGTGTACTTTGGTAAGTGTATTTACGATTTTCTAAATTTAAAACCAAGTTGGGATCTAATCGTCTTCATAGGGTAATTATTTATTTTGAAGTTTAAGGGTTAATTTCACCCTACTTGACGGGTCGGAAGGGATTTTTGCTAACAGTGTACTTTAGTGAGTGTATTTACGATTTTCTAAATTTAAAACCAAGTTGGGATCTAATCGTCTTCATAGGGTAATTATTTATTTTGAAGTTTAAGGGTTAATTTCACCCTGCTTGACGGATCGGAAGGGATTTTTGCTAACAGTGTACTTTGATGCGTTTATTTACGATTTTTTAAATTTAAAACCAAGTTTTGATCTAATCGTCTTCATATAGTAATTATTTATTTTGAAGTTTAAGGGTTAATTTCACCCTGCTTGACGGGTCGGAAGGGATTTTTGATAACAATGTACTTTGGTGAGTGTATTTACGATTTTTTAAATTTAAAAGCAAGTTGGGATCTAATCGTCTTCATATAGTAATTATTTATTTTGAAGTTTAAGGGTTAATTTCACCCTGCTTGACGGGTAGGAAAGGATTTTTACTAACAGTGTACTTTGGTGAGTGTATTTATGATTTTTTAAATTTAAAATCAAGTTGGGATTTAATCGTCTTCATAGGGTAATTATTTATTTTATAGTTTAAGGGTTAATTTCACCCTGTTTCATGGGTCGGAAGAGATTTTTGCTTACACTTTACTTTGATGAGTGTATTTATGCTTTTTTGTAATGTAAAACCAAGTTGGGATCTAATCGTCTTCATTAAGTAATTATTTATTTTAAAGTTTAAGGGATAATTTTACCCTGTTTGATGGGTCCGAAGGGATTCTCTTATAGCGTATTTTAGTAAGTGTATTTATTATTTTCGAAATTTAAACCAAGTTTGGATCTGGTCGACTTCATAGGATTATTATTTATTTTAAAGTTTAAGGGTTAAATTCACCCTATTTAATACACTTCACAGGATAAATATTTTATTAATTTTATGGGTTAATTTTACCCTGTTCAGTGTATGCGAAGAAATGTTTACCTATAGCGTATGTTTATGTAGTATATTTATTTTTTAAATGTAAAATTAAATTGCGATATGATTTCCTTCGTCGGATAAATACTTTTATCAATTTGAAGGGTTATTTTCAACCGTATATTGTTTGTCGATAATTATGTGTAAAATACATATTGACAAGATTATTAAAATAGTTGTACGCCGGACGCCACTGTTTTCCCGATCGGGTGTTTTCGGTTATTTTTACTGCTGAAAGTTACTGCTAACTTTACACCGGTCTTCATGAGGGTCTAAAAATGGAAGTCCAAAAATAAAATAAACATTTAAAACATTTTAGTTCTTATTTTATTTGCCAATAAGAGGTATTTAAAAAATATATTTTTTATTTAACATCTGTGACAAATTGTGAAAATGATTAAACTTACGATAAAAACTAAAAAATGGTAGATAAAGTTTCATATAAATTTTTTTACACAAAAATCAAGCTTTCTACATAACCTGATATATATTTAAAAATAATCTCAAATTATGAAGAAAAGTTAGTTTACTAACTAATAATGTTTATAGATGGTTTTCAACGTATTAAAACCAAAACAAATACTACACTAACTAAAATATTTATTTATTAATTGTTGTACTGTTTGAAAACAGCATGATGTTAATAATAATAACTACACTTAATACAAACTCAAATAATAAAAAAGAGCGATATTGACTCTTGCACAAAATTTTGACCCGAACTTACAAATGATAAAATTATTGGAAAAAGTGACCACCCATTTTAAATTATTACAAGCCGCCACTGCTAAAAACCTACTTATATTTGAATATCCCTATCATATCATGAATACAAAATTATAAGAAGTGTCTTTTCGGTATCACAGTAATTATTTTTTGAACACAACGTAGGCACATAACATATCAACAATTTTCTTGAAATCTTAAATAAATTTCAAAAATTAGTTCACATCTGCAACTAAAACGAAAATAGGTAGTTAAATATCATCAGCAAGATCTAAATATTAAACTAATTTAAAATATATGTTTAAATTTAACATATGCTTATAGCCTCATTCATCTCAATTATCTAGACTGTCCCACAAATCATTCTAAGCCACACCCACCGTTTCTGATTGGTCCAGAACGAGCTTTCAGCTGAAGCGACTTACTTTCAGAACCTGAAAGTGTCTTTTAATCTGTAAAGATCCTGTTTTGAATAACTACGCTTGGAGGAATTGAAATATAAAATGGATGAAGTATTTGTTGTTAATGATAATACCGTTGACAACGAAGTTAAAAAATGTCATAATTCTGTTAAATTTTCTATAGATTCCTTATTATCAACTAACGGGACTAATTCGGAAAATCAAAATGAACGTACTGAAAAAAGTGATTGTTGTGGTGATGTGACTGTGAGTAAAGATTACTTCGAAGTTGAGGACAGTACTTCTGGTGATTGTGCAGGTGGTACTGTGAAACAGGGTCCGTTTGAAAGATTCAAACGGGACAACGAAAGTGTGGTGTCTACTACTGGAGAATTATACCAAAGAAATTATACCGAAGGTAAGTTTGAGTAATTTTAATGCATCAACACTTCAAAATGTTTCAGATTCTAGTGGTTTAAAATAAGGAAATAAGTTCTCTTTGTATAACTTTGGCGGTAGGTAGCCTCATTAAAAGTGTTTTGTTTAGTAATAAATTATCTATAAAATTTATTCATTTTTATCTGCCAAAAACTATCAAATAAAATGGATTACCATTAATCTAATGAACAGGATGTTTCAGTTTATTGTGGAAGAACTTTAACACTAAACAGAACTTTAAAAATAGAAACAAAAAGTTATAAGCACAGGTCGGAAAATGCTTGGTTTTAAAAATACCATATATAAATTGAATTTTAAATATCGTAAAGTTGGGGTATGCAGGGCCGTTATTAGAGGTGTGTAGGTTCTGCAAGCATAAAGGCGGCCGTAGGCAGAATCTGTTAAATACACTTACTTTTTGAATATATGAGTGCCCTAGATGCAAATCTCGCTTTTCGACAAAAATGCGAAAAATATGTTAAGCACGCCATCTTGTTGCTTTAGTAATTGTGTGTTAAGGTATTATGAGTCAAAACCTTAGATAAATGAAACCGGAGATGTAACATTGCACATCAAGCACGTTGTCTATTCCAACCCTAAGTAACCCACCAATTAAAAATCATTGTGTTCACGAATTGCTCCGAATTGCTCCGAAATTTCTATTTTATGCTTGTCTCCGAGCAGTGCCGCTGAGAGCCAAGCCGGGCCCCAGGACAATTCTCTAGATCGGGCCCCGTGAAACAAAAAACTATTCTCCCTACTTCAATTACTTTTAAAAAAAAGGGCCTAACATCAAAAAGCTATTCTCCCTACCTCAATTGCTTCTTCTTCTAAACAAAAAAAAAAACAGCCGAAACTTAACTTCCCACTCTCATCTTGTGTCGAATTTCTCATGCAAAACAGAATATGCTGTTGTCGAGCCCCCCTTACAGCGCTACCGGGCCCCCATTTAAGACCGGGCCCCGAGAATTTGTGCCGGCTACCCCCCCTCTAGTCGGCCCTGTCTCCGCGTGAGTAAATCATTTATGGACCGCCGTTTTTTAAATTATTTGTTGGTGTTATTAGCAATATTCAATTTCCAGTTGAAAATGCCACGATGTATGGTAAAAAATTGTATATACAAATAATATAAGTGTCAATGATATGAAAAATAAGAAATATATTCGTTTTCAGCGGTAAATATTTGTTTACGTTTTTACATAACACAACAAAAACGTATCGGACGCTGTTTCTTCTTGTTTGGAATTAGCTTATACAAGTTTAAATTTCAACGAGGCCGTAGCTGCAGTATTTTGTGATCTGACTAAAGCTTTTGACTGTGTCAACCATGGAGTACTGCTGCAAAAGCTTGAAATTTATGGCATAAGAGATGTGGCCTTGAATTGGATGAAATCCTACCTTTTAGGTCGCAAACAGTTAGTCCGAACTGTTTCAGACTCGAATACAAGTGACATAAAATGGGGTGTCCCTCAAGGTTCTGTTCTTGGGCCCACCCTGTTTTTAATTTATATCAATGATTTAGGTAAGTTAAATATCTCAGGAAGCTTCACTCTATTTGCTGACGATACTACTATCTTGTGGCACAATAAAGACGTCAATATTCTTTATTCAAATATTAGTAATGACCTAAAATCCTTTAAAACATGGTGCACTGCAAATTTTCTGTTATTAAATTTTAAAAAAACAAAAATACTAACCTTTAAATGTAATGTTCCTGATATTTTAATAGATATGGATACTGTAGAAGCCACAAACTGTACAAAATTTTTGGGTTTAAATATCGACATGGGTTTGAAATTCAAATCTCATGTGGATTCACTTTTAAAAAAACTCGCATCGGGTTGTTATGCCATTAGAACCACCTCTCATGAATTGGGAGTTTGTGCAGCAAAAACTGCATATTATGCGTTAGTTGACTCCCATCTACGTTATGCTGTTCAGTTTTGAGGAGTCTGTTCTGCCGAGTTATTTGACAGAGTCTTTTTAATGCAGAAACGGGCAATAAGGTTCTTATGTGGAGCACACAGATTAGTTTCATGCAGACCTCTGTTCTTAAAACAATAAATATTAACATTAACATCTTTATTTATCTTAGAAACTTGTTGCATGATCCATAAGAACAAGTCGAAATATAAATCGAATACATCCCGTGTAACTCGCCAAACGGGTAACTTGAAGTTGCCTATTCCCAAAACTGAACTAATAAGAGACTCTTTTATATACAATGGTATCAAAATGTACAATAGGCATACGTTGACAGATGTTGAGTCACAGAATTGTTTTAGAAAGCTGCTCAAGAGATTTCTGTTATCTAGGCCTTATTATAATATAGAATTTTATAATGACGAGACACTGTGATATGTGTTTTATTTTGTTTTGTTTTATTTTATTTTAGATGCATGTATTAATGTTAATTTATATTTTAATGACTATTTATGTATTTGTAATTTGTATACTATTTATACAATATTGTGTTTGTATGACTATTTATTTATTTGTAATTTGTACAATATTGTGTTTGTCAATAAGTATTTTAACTTGGACAATAAACATATATTCTCTCTCTCTCTCTCATAAAGTCGCCATGATTCTTTGAGCTGAATACTTCAGATCCACATTAAGGGGTTTCAATAAATATTAAGCATCAAATACATATTATTTCAGAAAATAGATTTCATTATCCATTAATCTACAAAAGAGTAAAATTTTAAAATTTTAAACATTTAATCTAAATAAGAAGTAAATACTAACGAAATTTTGTTTTTAAAAAGTAGTTTTATAAGAATATTTACGTAAGGTGGTTTTTAGCCCTTATTTGGTATTTTTACAAGAATATTAGATGAAATACAGGTTCACCTACTTAAAATTCCAAGGTTCATTTTATTTGCGGTTAAATCGGAAGTGACATTTGAATCTTAAGTATTAAAACAAAGTAAAACGCGCAATATGATCTAGTATAAGCAAAAAATACTAAAGTTACGGAAATTGGTCATATTATTAGTAAAATGTTACATTATAAACCCAAGGCCGACGAGAGGGGCTGTAGCCGGGACAAATTCTCGGGGCCAGTGTTGCCAGTCTAGTACAATTGTACTAGATCTAGTACATTCTCTGAGAATCTGGTACTCTAGTACACTCGACACAATATCTAGTACTTTTTTCAGCGTATGTTTCCATTTGAAGTGTAAAATATATTGGTCAAAAATTGCAAGAGAAATTAAAATAGTTGTAAAAAATTACTTCAGAGATAAAATAGCAGACATTTCTCGAGAGATAAAACATTATTTAAAAATTGTACGAGAGATCAAATATTGTTCAAAAATGGCTTGAGAGGTAAAAAAGGGTGTTAAAAATTGATCAAAGTATAAAATAGTATTAGAAATTGCTTGAGAGGTAAAATATTGTTCAAAAATTGCTCTAGGGATAAAAATACTGTTAGAAATTTAATGAGAGATAAAAATATTTAATAATTTTTCCAGAAATTAAATAGTATTATAAATTGTTAAAATCGTGTTCAAAAATTGCTCAAGGTAAAATAGTATTACAAAATGTTAAACCCTTGTTCAAAAATTGCTCGAGGGATAAAATTCTATTGAAAAATTTGTTGAGAAATAAAATATTGTTCAAAATTGACTCAAGAGATACCTACTATTAGAAATTTCTCGAAAGAAAACATTGTTTAAAAATTCCTCGAACGATAAAATACTATTAAAAAATGCTCAAGAGATAAAATATTGTACAAAAATTGCTCGAGATATAAAACATTGTCAAAAATTTATCGAGAGTTAAAATATTTTTACAAATTTGTCGAGAGTTAAAATATTGTGCAGTTTGCTAAAGAGATAAAAAAGTTGTTAAAATTTGCTCGAGAGATAGAATAATGTTAGAAATTTATCGAAAGATAAAATATTGTTTAAATATAGCTCAAGAGATAAAAAAAGGTTTAAAAATTGTTCGAGAGATAAAACATTGTTTAAAAATTGTTAGAAAGATAAAAAATGTTAATAAAAATTGCTCGAGAGATAAAATCGTGTTAGAAATTATTAAAATTTTGCTCAAAAATTGCACGAGAGATCAAATATTGTTCAAAAATAGCTTGAAAGGTAAAAAAGCTGTTAAAAATTGCTCGAGTGATTAAATAGTGTTAAAAAAAATATTGTACAAACATTGCTCGAGAGATAAAAGAAGTTGATAAAAATTGCTCGAGAGATAGAATACTGTTAGAAATTTATCGAGAGATAAAATATTGTTTCAAAATAGCTCAAAAGTTAAAAAAAAAATTAGAAACTGTTCGAAAGATAAAAGAGTATCAAAAGGTATTAAAATCTTATTCAAAAACTGCTCGAGATATAAAATAGTGTCAGAAATTTGTCGAGAGATAAAATATTGTTTAAAATTGTTGTGTTCGTGTTCTCTATAAACCTTTTTTTGGTCTTTAATGACCATACTTCATAATTAGAAAAATCTGGTAATTTTATAGAATCTAGTACATTTTTATGAAATCTGGTACATTTTTTAGATAAATCTGGTACGTTACAAAAATATATTCTGGCAACACTGCTCGGGGCCCGGGCTCAAATGGGGGCCCGGCAGCGGCATAAGGGGACCCGGCAGCTTTAGGTGACGACGTTTTTTTTTAGAAGTTCGCCATAAAAGCTTAATTTTTTTATAAAATTGTCGCTGGGCTCGACCTGGAAAATTGTCCCGGGGCCCGACCTGGAAAATTGTCCCAGGGCCCGACCTGGCTCTCGGCGGCCCTGTATAAACCCCTAAACAACTGGAAAAAACTTCGTTTACTAAAAATATCTAAATTCTAGCAATATTTATTATACAATCGAATGCGGTTTCAAAGATAACAGGATCAATAAATCCAAATCTCTAAATTTTGGAGCTAAATGCTCGGATAAAAGCATGCGACCGATAGGGGTTACAAAAATAGTCGATTTATCGTTTTCATGAAAATCGATTTATCCGTTATAA